GACACCGCCCGTCCCCGATGGCTGGTCCTGCGCCCGAAGGGACCGAACCGCCACGGAAGAGACGGACGCCCAAGAGGCTATGCTATGCCCGTTGACACACGACGACGTCCACACTGGATGAGGCTCTCCGGATGGCAGGGGAAGCAATCAATGCAACTTTTTGAGTTTACAGAAGATGGCACCTGTCCAACTGGTGTTCGTCGAATGAAAAACCACTCGAATATTCATCTATTGCAGCCGGGAACATACGCGACGGGAAACACGAACGGGCGAAACAATGCGGAGGGAAGAGCCCTGTCGTGTCCAGCAAACGGACCAAGCCGAATCTCGGGAGCCGACCTCTCCATCAATGCGTCTCCCGCGCTTCCTTCGATTAGATTCAAGCAATTGGTATTCTCTCGGCCTTCACCGACGAACCACTTCACGCGCCCATCTCCAGCTGTATGCCGTCAGACCCTAAACATTCCCAGTTCAACATAAGCCATCAAGCCACCAAGCCACCAAGCCACCAAGCCATCGCCGCCTCATTACCAGTCAGCCCAACCCCGACCTTCAGTCTCGGGGCTTGAGGCGGTGCGCCAGGCGGTGCTGCCGCCAAACCTGTTGGTCAATCGTCAGTGGTCACCACCACCCAGCCCTGCCCACTTCTCCGGCCCCTCGGTCCATGGCTGTCCTGGCTGCTGCAACGCTACAACGCTCCATTCGATCCCACTCTGTCCAAACGCTCACCTCAAAGTATCGAGACCCAAAACTTTTGGACCACCGCAGCGTCACTTCTCCATTGCGACCCCCATCTCGTCCTTGACACGGGTTCCACGCGTGACATCAGACGAAACACTGTCTTCCTCCTGGCGACGATGCAGTCTTTGTTTTCGAATGTGACGGATACCAGCTTTATCCTGTTCCAGGACACTGATTTCGCTTCTGTCACTTCCCGCGTAGCTACTCGACCAGCAATGAGGCGCTTCAGGAGTGACGTTCAGGAGTGACGAGGTCGACATGCCGCTGGCCGTCTTGCTTTCCTCGGTCTTGTTACCCACATGAGGAAGGACATCAGCGCGCTCGAGCGCTCAGGGTCGTCTCCAGTTTTGCCCGTGCTACTATTTCAAGCAATATCATGACCCAAAGCACAACAAGCATCACCGCCCAGTGACGACCCATCAACGAAATGTTCCCACTTCCAAGAGACCTCAAACCTCCAGCCACCGCCCTCTCGACATGTTCTCATGACTGATATCCAAGAATGCGCTCTGCCACAACCCACAGACGTTGCAGGGTTCCCCAGCCCGATCAAAGTGCAAAAACTAATCCCGTAGCCGCCAACCACACCAGTTGGCAGAGCCTAGGAGACTTTTGGACGACAGCAAGGATGCCCCGCCATGAGGCGCACCGCCTCATCCCCCAATCGCACTGTGGCTATTGCGCTGTCCCATCGCAACCAACGGCAGGATGAACAGAGCCCTGTTTGATCACCAGCCTCTGATATCTCGCGCAACTACAAAGTCATCCTTGCGACATGATGCCTGTTGCCGGCCATGCGCTGATGCCCGCATACAATTGCGAATTCCATCCTGGCTCCAAATGCCCAAACCTGCAAGTTCTCCAAGCTGTGCCCTACTCTCAGGGACGGATGGCTGGTCTCAATGCAAGTCTCAGACAAGACGCACTTGTCTAAGACCTGCCTGCATGTCGTCTTAAATTGCCCAATCGCCTGGCTGTGCCCTCTCATTCGCAGCTCCTCGCGAGTAGCGCTGACAGAGGCGGAACGGGGTGGCATCCCACTTTCGTCCATACTTGAGTCTGGCACTCAATCGACCTCATCGCAGGGCAGCCGGCCATGCCTCGGGTCGAACGAGATTCTGGTTGACGGTGGCGGCCTCTGGTGCGCCGTCCCCAACGCTTCACGCAGCACCAAGGCATCCGTCCCGCATTGAACCGGGCGCAACGCAACGTTAAATCGGCCTGTCGTCGTGCCACCGTCTTCAATTATACGAGCAGCGGGTTTACCCCAACTGCCCCTCATTCCAACCGTCCCAGAGCCAACGCAAACTCGCAGCGCAGACTTGCCACTCCCACGTTCCGTCTCAGCTCAGCTGGGATGAGCTTCAAGAAGCTTGTCCCACGGTGCACTTTCTCAGTCATATGCAAAGTGCTTTTGAAGGATGATCACCACCACACTTCGCAGTCTGCAGCGCGAATCCTCTGAGCCCGCCTCCATGCACGCACAAAGCACAAAGCACCACCGCAGCAACCAACACAGCGCCCCAACGACGATCTGCCAAAGCAAGAAAAACACATGCAGCCTTCCTCACTGCGCCACGGGGCCTTGACGTCCGGCCCCCCAGAGTCGCGAATCCTACCAGGCCACCACGTTGTTGCCGACACCCGTGCATGACGTATAACGCAGCGATCAATCGTTGCATGTCGCCTGAATGATTTGAGTAGTGTTTCCAGGCGTAGACAGCGACATTCAGCCTTGTCGCGATCGCATATTTTGAACTAGTACGCAAAGTCACGGCCATGATGATTTGGAATGCACTGAGGGCCATGTGATGCCTGTCCTCCTCTCCCGAGGAAACTCAAGTCACTCTGGTAAGCATCGATTCCAGACTTCATGTGCACTTTGAGAATTTGAAAAGGCGGACGTTTATGATTGGGTGCGCGCGGCGCGCATAGCATCATCATGACGATCAACACGCCTGGCCGGACGTAAACCGTGAGCAGAGTCGTTGCGATCAAAACAGATTCATCGCGCAGGATTCATATCCAAAACCCTCAATTATCAGATTATCTCGTGAGAAAAAGCCCGTCTTAATAATCCACCACTCAAGAAACTATCTTTCACCTTCCAAAAAGGAACAACAACAAGAACATTCTCACCCAAACTTCTTCTCAAACTTCCTCAACATGCCCGTGACGCCCCTCTCGAGCCGCCCTGCGTTCGCCTCCAACTTGCCCGCCGGCTCCTGCTTGACCATGTACCCCTTGTACCGGGCCGCCTCCTGCTCCGTCGGCCGGTAGAGCTGCTGGTGCACCGAGTAGTCCAACGCTGCCGGCGACTGCGGCTGCGTTGTGTACGAGTACTGCGAGAACCCCCCGATCGGCGTAGCTCCGGGGCTCGTGACCGGGGGCGTGCCCGTCGTGCCTGGCGTCTGAGGAGGCGGCGTCGGCTGCTGGGTCTGTTGCTGCTGGGGCGGTTGCTGAGGCTGGGCCGGCGCTGTCTGCGGCGGGGGTGGAGGTGGAGGAGGCTGCAGGCCCGTGGTGCCGGGAAAGTTGCTGCCGTAGGGGCTTGCCAATCCCGGTGAGGCCAGGCCGCCGTGGACGGCCTGTACGGGCATGGTCACGGCGCGCTGGAGCCCGGGTTGCGGTGGCGCGCCGAACTGCGGCGGCGGGGGCGGGGGCGGGAGACCGGTGGCCCCGACCTGGGCGGATTGGAAACCCGGGGGCGGGACGAAGCCGGGAGAGAAGGGAGCCTGGGCGTCGTATGCTACTGCGGCCGCCAGGGGGTCCACCCCGCCGTCTTCTGGGGGAGGAGTCTTTTCTCGGTGTCTGATTGCCTCGGGCGCGGCGGGCGCGGCGGGGTTGTATGCCATAGGCGCGAAGCTTGCTGGAGGTTCTTGCTGCGCCGGGACAGCGGACGTTGGGGGCCCCGCGAAACTGACGGGCGCTTGTTGTTGAGATTGCTGGGGGCTGCCGTAGTGAGGATCCGAGATGGCGGCGTGCTCGAGCTGTTGCACGACTGCGCTCACGGGGTCGGCTTGGTGATGGCCGTGGTGGTGTGATGGCTGCGCCGGCTCGTCAAGAACCTCGACCTGCGCCGGCGGGAGGACTCTGCGGATGCCATTGACGAACTGGAGCGCGTCCTCCTGCTTCCAGAAGTAGATGTCGAGAGAGTGAAGCTTGTAGTGGTACTTGTTCTGATTTTGGGGGTCGTAGGTCGGGAGATGCCACTCCATCTGGTCCGTCGTTTCGCCGACGGTGAGGGTTACCATGCATTGGTGATTATAGGTGTACTGCACGTGCGTCTTATCGAGGACTAGACACCACTATTGTCAGCTCTCTGGCTACGGCGGCGCATGGCGGCGCAACATACACCCGTCAAAGGCATCTTGGTCATCCGTGCCTGGGTGGTTCGCGATCTCAATGCGCGCGCGGCGGTCATTCGCGTTTTCGAACAGATAGACGTAGGAGCCCTTATCGAAGCGGTGGTGAGGGGGTTTGTTCGTCGGCGGGCCGTAGAAGTAGTGAATGTCTCCGAAGCTGTGAAGCGTCACAGGCCAGTCAGCCATGATGTTGTTTCCCCCTCAAGTCAAGTAGCACTGCTACTCTTGTTTTTTCTGCGTCTGAGAAGATGGAGCAAACTTACAGAGTAGCTACGTTCTCCTCGCCCGGCCGGGTCGCCATCCTGGTTTTGTTGGAACCCGTGTTTCCAGGAATAGATCTTCAGGTCGTTGGGGGAAAGGCAATCGGCCGAGCAATCAATCTAAACCCCTCCCTCCCACTCGCGAGGGTGAGAAGCACAGGAGCGGCGCAAGCTGTGGAATTACCCCGCCTCGGTCAAAGGCCAAGGGCGGCAGCAGGACGACAATAGAAACAGACTGCCGTTGGGAGGTGTGTGTGGTGTTTGGTGTGGCACGTTTATTGCGGACTCTTTGCAAGGAATAGCACAAATATACTCCGTACGGAAGGAGGACAAGAGTGTCGAGGGAGAGAGGAGGGAGGAGGGTTTGTGAGGACTAGATAATTAAGGTAGGTCTCCTTGGAACCGGCCCATCCTCTTTCTCTTCCCTCTGCCCTGCCAGTCAGCTTTTTGTGCCACTCGGTACTCGGTCGCAAGAGAGAAGAAGAAAAGACCCAAGCAGAGATTCTTGCGACCATCCCACTGTCCCGCCCATAGCGCCAATGTGCCGGCGTCTAAATGCATGCTGCTCGACTGGAGGAGCCTGCAGGTGGTCGCATCGAGTGGTCAACCGGGCGCTTACAGGAGGTTGAAAGAACCAATGACACGCGGCGGCCGGGGTGAAAGTGAGAAGAAGCACTCCCAGTCGGCCGCGGTCCCCACGGTCCTCGAAGTGGAGCTTTCTAGACCGTTGGGCACGGACCATCGTCCGTCAACCAGAATCCTTAGTCATCATTCGACGACCGGCCGGGCTGCGTTCCAAAAATTTGGCGATAGCTTCCATATCGCCGGTTTGGTCAGGTGACGGTCTGGAATTCGCAATCTTTGGAGCCACCCCACGCGCAGCACGCTGTTTTCAAAGGTCAAGGGTGACATAAAAACCAGTCAATCGCCTCCAATTGAGGCTCACGCCGTAAGAATATCCCACCCATGTCCCGGAAACTTGATCGCATCTAATTTGTCCCCTCCTAGAACCGCACCCTTCCGCACCCTCTCACCCCTCGACGCAACCTCCCCACGATACCCGAGCCCCGGTGCTCACCCAATCATCCCTCAAGATGGGTTTCACAAACATGATCAACGCGTGCTCGCACCTTCAGAATGCCTCCCGCGCCCGCCTCGGCATGACCTCCATCGTAAACACCAAGCACAACCTCAACCTCGCCCTCGCCCTGCAGCGCGCAGGCTTCCTCTCCTCCCTCTACCGCGGTGGCCCCGCGCCCCCGACCCCGGAGCAAATGTCCGAGCCCCCGGAACCCATCACCACCGCCAACGTGGCCTCCCGCCGCCTCTGGGTCGGCCTCAAGTACTGGAACAACGAGCCCGTCCTCAAGGGTATCAGCATGGTCACTAAGCCGAAGCGACCCGTCAACATCTCCATCAAGGACCTCGAGCTCGTCGTCAGAGGGTTCCAAAGCAAGGACGGCCTGATCAAGGGCATGACGTTGGGCGAGTGCATGTTCATCTCCACCGACAGGGGCGTTTTGGAGGCGAGGGAGGCTTTGGCTAGGAAAGTGGGAGGAATGGTCCTGTGTCGTGCAAGGTAAAATAAGAGAGAAAAAGAAAACAAAAAAAGAATGACGGATGGGGTTTTGGACGAAGACGAGAACTCGGTCCGCAAACGGATAGACGAATGGCCTCGAGAATGGCGTCTTGGGGAAAAGGCACCATAAAGGGACAAACGGGCGGCCGATTTGTAGACGCCCGGTGGGAGACATGTCCTCCACGTACTGTACAAAATCTGTATTTTGTAGAAAACATGAACACACCATTTCACGCTTCACTTTGCCCCGGCCCTGTTACGACGCTTAAAACACACATTCACCGAAGAGTATCATCACAAGAAGAAGGAGCTTCAATCGCCGAAGTGAAAATGCTTGCGAGTGGTATTCATTCTCTATAACTAATCTTAATCCTTGAGCTCCAGACACCAACTTATTGCTCCGGAACCCCAAAAAAAACTCTCACGAACGAAGAAATTTACGCCTTTTTGTCGGTCAGGTATCATGGTACACCCCAATCGTCTAAACTATATACTTGCCTCCACCCCTCTTCAGCACGCTACACGCTTCTTTATGCTGTCTCAGTCTTGACTTCTGTGGTCGCCGCGCTGGAAGCAGGAGCCTCGTTCTGCTCCTCGACAGTCTCCTCAAGGAGCTCCTCAAACTCATCCGGGCTCTTAAGCTCGTGGGTATCTCCCTCATCAATGGACAGTCTCGCCGCTCGCTGCGTGAGCTCATCGAACTCGGGAGACTCAGTGCGATCCTCGTTGACGCCGTCGGATCCAGACGTAAAGGCGGCACTGGGCTCGGGGTCGGAGGTCTTGTCCGAAGAAGACTCCTCAGGAATAGGCTCTGGTGTGACCGGTGCCTTGACTGGCTCCGGCTCAGGCTTGACCTCGACGGGCTCCTCGGCCTTGTCAACAACCTCAGCCACCTTCTCAACCGTCTCAACCTGAGCGGTTTCGGCCGCCACCTCCTCAATCGAGGTCTCCTTCTTGGTGAAGGGGCTTCCTGTACGAACGGACTCGGGAGAGCGCTTGATGGTTCTTCTCGGGCTTCTCGAGACGGATGAAGCTTTGCCGCTGCCTTGCGTGGAGCTGCGGTGTCTGGGAGGCGTGACGGGGGCCTTCTCGGTGGTCTTGGAGCTCGAGCTCTGGGTCGGACGCATCATACGCGCCAGGAAGTTCTCGTCGACCTCCTTCTCCTTCTTGGTGATGGGGTGATCCTGGAGGGGCTTCTTCGGCGGGGGTCCAATGCTGGGCCTGGGCCGGTTGATGACCGAATTCTGGCGCTTCAGAGTCTTGTGCGGCCCGGCACCGGCGGCGCTCGCTCTGCTAGCCGGGCGGCCCTGGTTGCCGGAGGAGCGAGAGAGGGTCTCACGGGGAGCTTCTCCCTTGACCTTGGAGACAGACGCGGCAGTCGGGGCCATGAGGGACGCCGGAAGTCTCACGGGCCTTGTGGGAGACTTGACCTTGGGCTTAACAAAGCCGGCGCCGCTGGGCGGGGTAACGTTCACGGGGGCGGGCTTCTTGTTTGATCCCGCCGTCTTCGCGCCAGTCTTTGGCGTGCTAGTTGCCGGCTTCTCGGGGGTTTTCTTGGCAGGGTCATGGGCTGCCTTGGGGGCGCTCAGCTTCGAGCCGGATTGAGGCAGCGCGGGTGCCTTGGTGGTGGTCGGAGACCTCGTGGGCGTCTTCGATCTCGCCTTGATTGCGGCAGGGGGCGCGAGGCTTTTCGGAGCAGGCTTTGCGGTGCTTTTAGCCTTGGCGGCCGGCTTCGCCGTGTCGGCGGCAGCTGCAGCTGCGCCGTTGGTAGGTGCGGAGGGGGTCTTCTCGGTCGGGTCTCCGGGGAGAAGCTCGGGCGTGGGCGTCTCGATGTCGACGTGCTTGTCGGGATTGTGGCTTGGCTTGTCGGTCACGGCGCCGAGGCTTCGGGTGGCAGCTTGGGGAGAGCCCTTCGTCGCGTCAGGGCGGCGAGGAGACTCGGGAATGGTCTCGCTGACAACACTGGCCTTGAAGCCGCCGGAAGTCTCCTCGGTGGCCATTGTCTTATCGGATTGGCCAGAGACAGACGCCTCTCCCTCGGTGTGGCTGCTCAGGCGCCGCTGAGACAAGCTCGACTCATTGCTGGGGTCTCGGCGAAGTCCGACTCTGCCGTCCTTCTCGACGGCTACGAAGCTGGTGCGAATCTTGGAGAGAGGGCGGGCTGGAGGCGGAGGGGTTTCGGTGCCGTCTGGGAAGGTAATGCGGTTAGCAAAGCTTCAGAACGGGACGCGATTACGAGACAATATAGGTGCATTTCAAAGCGAACAGTGCTGCGAGGGGCGACTTGCAAGCTGGAGCATCGCAGTGCAGCTGTGCAGGGCAAACGAGAGAAGAAGACTGGTGGGCAGCACTTACTGGAAGAAAGTCCAGGCGATCTACCTCGATCTGGCGGGCTCGCGTCCTGTTTCTGCTCGAACATTGCCCGCAAGTTCTTGACTGCGGACATGGCGACGGTGTCGGGTCGCTGCCTTGCGACGAGGTACTCTGCTAAACTCTCGGTGGAAGCTGTAAGGGAGGTTGGAGTTGCGACGAGTATCTCGTTGGGCGATATGTTGGGCGAAGAAAGCGCGGCGTAAGATGCTCAAGGGCTATAAGGAGGAACTCGGCGCTGGAGTGTTTCCAGCACGCAGGCGCATGCCGAGTCAGGTTCGTATCTGCGGAGAAGGCGGAAGCAGGCTTCGAAGTCGGGCAGCGGTCACGACGTGTGAGCTTTTCGAAGTCGTGGGTTTGGGGGCTGAGCGGGAGGAAGTGGGAGAGAAGGGCAGGATTGGATTCGGGGGCGGCGGTGTCAGTGCAGCGAGGCGAGGTAGGCAGGCAGACAGACGATGGATGATCAGCAGCGTTGTGGGTATTTCGAGCTGGGTTTTTGTGGAGTTGTAGGCGGGTGAGAGACGGGAGAGCAGCGAGGTGCTATGCTAAATGCATGATCTGTAGAAGAGGAAGATTGCGAAAGCTGTCTTGTCTCGATGTCGGGGGGGGGAGTGCTGTGGTGTTGTGTGCTGCAAGTGGTGCGTGTGTGGTTGGGTTGTCTCAGTCAGAGTCTCTCTCGTCTGGTGTTTGGTGTCCAGTAGTTCCAGTCCCGTCTCCCCTCGGTGGGCGCGTTTGTCCGTCCACTTGGTTCAGGTCCCGTCGGGTCTGTGGTCTCCTAGGTTCAGTGCGAACAGAGGAGAAAATGGAACGGCCACGGTCAGGGTGTGTGAGGTGCGGTACGGATACTCGTGGGTGCGGGTGGTTCGAGAAGGGGACAGGTGAGGTTGCTTGTTCATCAGGGCTAGCATTTAAATTACGGCCACCCCATAATCCCATAATCATAATCAGAAGGGACTGGATCGATCAAAAAGCCCACCACGCGGGAGGCCACTATTTGCCAATTCGAACGCACCAGACCACCGCGGTCTGCTCGTGTAGGGCCTGCTCGATCCTCGGCGTCATGTACTATCTGCTTAACTTTGGGATAGATACCTCATCACCAAGAGCGAGAGTTGTGCACTAATACAATACAGAGTCACAGAGTACCTAGGTAAGGTACACTCTGGCATTAGGGGGAGGGGGGCGGCGTTGTGAGGGGTGTGTGCGAGCATTCAGGGGTTCCCATACATGCACATGCTCATTCGCTGCTACACTGCCAAACCGACCCGACGCCAGCTCACTGTCACAGACTTTTAGCTCGTCTTCAACATGAGGCGGTGGGTGGTGGGTGGTGTTGGCGACGCGTTTATGTAAGGACTGGTGGCATATGCAGTTTATGCCTGTATGCATCATGTACACTGCCTACCTTACAGGCTTACACAGCTATGGAACACAGCCAGCTAGACGAATGGTTCGCGTTCACTGCAACGCCGCGGTGCGCGTCCCCAGCCTCCCAGTCCCAAGAAAGAACATGCAGGAGCTCCAACGGCGGGCATCCACTGGCCATTCCGGCTGCTCTCGCTTGTCGAAATGCCTGCAGGGCCTCAAATGGGAGATCCATTGGCCCAGGGTCGTCGAACATGGTTCTGGAAGCTGCTCATTAACGGCCAGTGCCTCTTGGTCAGCGAGGGTCTCCCCCAGGGCCCCAATCCTCCCTTTTTGAAGAATTGTCATTTGAGCACATGAAAATCACAGAGGGGGTGGGTGGTGATAGGTGCCAGGATGCCAACAATATGAGGTACTTATTACCTTACGCGAGTACTTTTGAAGACACATCACAAGTCAAACACAACCTCACAGCTCACTGTTGGCAGCCGGACCCCCTTTTCCATCCAACCATCCCTCCAGACTCCGTTCCCCTCTATCCCTTGGCTTGGTGGTGCTTGCCCTTGTAGGAAAATGCCCCTCCTACCTCTCGCTGCCCTCACCTGGTCTGTCTGTTGTCCCAGGCCGTGCGATGCCGCCGTCGCCGCAGTTTAGTCCGCAGCTGCAGCTAGTGCCTGACTGTTGGGCGCGGCAGGATCGACAAAAAGGGGAAATTCGGTAGCAATGTCGGTTTGGCAGCCGTCGGATGCCGCCAACCGGGCGCAATGACGAGACGGCGCTGACAACTTACAGCGGTAGCTCTGGTAGCTTATCAAAAATGAAGCACGCCTACAAACGGTCTCTGAGGTGATGGACATGAACGCCGCCGGACGAGCTTTCTTTCCCTCTCTCAGGTCCATATCTTTAATCTTTTTTCATTACCTAGAGGGAAAGCTAGGTACAGCTCCAATGCACGGTCTCCTGTTTCACAGTCTCTCTTCTTCTCATCCGCTGTGCATTGGTGCGTCTGCTGGACTGCGAGCTTACCGCCTCTTGCCGCTTAACCCGTTTATCAGAATATGCATTATTCAGAAAAGGGGCAACGGTCAGGAGCGACGCGAAACACGGCTCGACAGAGGGAGAGAAAAAAAAAAAAAGTTGGCGTTCTTGTTTACTCAAGCGGCTTCCTTTATCCCTAGCTTATCCGGCTGCTCTGGCAACTGAGCCCTCCACCGTTTGACAATAAGAGACAAAGATCAAAGAAAATGACAATCCATCAATCATCCTTGGGATCACGCAAAAAAGAAGAGGCGCTCTATTCGGCGCCCCCTGGTCCCTTATTCGGCACCCTCTTAAACCCTTTTTGGCAGTACGCCCATACAAAAAAAAAGCCGTGCACGCTGGACACTCGCTTTACCTAAAACTAGCGTATAGCTATCCGTACTAATATTTATACTCGTTCGCGCGCGAATAGCGAAAAGCGCTTTAAAAAGTCTAAGAAAATCGAGGAAAATTAGGAAAAAGTGAAGGAAAATTTAAGAAAATACGGAGGCTTATACCGTTACTCTATTAGGGTTAGGTTAGGTAGTTAGGGTTATAAGTAAGTTAGGGGTTGTGGTTAGAAGTTCGGTATTCTGTTGAGATATCGGTTTTTTTCTGTTAGCTAGGGGGTGCCGAATAAGGAACCGGGGGGCGCCGAATAGAGCGCCTCAAAAAGAAGATCGAAAAAAAAGTCATGTATCTGGAACGCGACTCCGGTCTGCAGCACGGCCCCCTTTTTGCCTTCCATTTCCCACCCTCGGGAGGGAAGAGCTTCCCCTCTCGCAATGCTCTGGAAGCTCTCTGGAAGCTCTACAATCCCGGCACGCCCGCGCTGTTCCCTCTGTTCTCCAACGCGCTAGAAGCGAAGAATGTGGGGAGTCTCTCAGGGGTCATCACATCCCCTCGGCCGCCAACCGGCGACAACCTTGCCCATATAATTTCCGTCTGTGAGGCCCCAAGTTTGCTGTGCTGCGTCAATTGACTCGCTCCATGCTCATTGCTGCTCGCGGCCTGACCTGACCCGACCCAGGCACCATACGGATGCACTACTGTGCCGTACATTTGTACCCTTAGGGCAAGTTCGTTGATGAGAAGGTAGATCGTAGGGCCGGCTAATGGTGAAGGACTGTGGCCCGAGTACCCGGGGCGTGCCGCGGGGATGGGTAGCATTCCGGGAATCAAATAGGCACTCACTCAATCTCTGAAGCTCGCTTTCTAGCGGTGCAGGGCGAATAGCGCATCAACGGCCGACACCAGACCGTCCAGTACCGCCGTAATCACGCTGTCCAAGATGAGATGCGAAAGCGAATCATGCGCCTCGTTGCAGCGCTGGAGAGGACCAACAAAAAGTTCACCTTGAAAGAACCTGACGCAATGGCGCGGAAGTAACCGCAGTTTGAAAGCTCCGATGTGTTGGGCCCTGCTCCAAGAATAACGGCCGCCCGTTGGTCGCTCGCCGAACGGCCCTTGGTGTGGCTGGCCCGACCTCCGATATCGACCGTCCATGCAGGTAACTTTTTTTGCGTCTCGGCTGTGAATGAGTCGGGCTTCGTTTCCTTCAACCAGAAGACAATCCACCCGCTGGCCGCCAATTGAAGCCCATCATGTCTGTCAGAACTCTCAGAATCGGTAGGCCGCCCGTGGGAAAACTCAATTGGCCAATTCCGCATTTACTAAACATTTCCCAGGCCTGATCCCCGGTGACGGCATCGGCAAGGAGGTCATCCCCGCCGGCCGCCGCATCCTCGAGGCCCTACCCGCTTCCCTCGGCCTCAAGTTCGAGTTCACCGACCTCAAGGCCGGTTTTGAGACCTTCGAGCAGACGGGCGCCGCCCTCCCCGACAAGACCGTCGAGATCCTCAAGAACGAGTGCGATGGCGCCCTCTTCGGAGCCGTCTCCTCACCCACTACCCCGCGTAAGGGCTACTCCTCCCCCATCGTCGGCCTGCGCAAGAAACTCGACCTCTACGCCAACGTCCGCCCCGTCAAGTCCGTCTCCACCGACCGCAAGCTGATCGACATGGTCATCGTCCGCGAAAATACCGAGGACCTGTACGTCAAGGAGGAAAAGACCTACAACGGTCCCAACGGCAAGATCGCCGAGGCCATCAAGCGCATCAGCGAGAACGCCTCCCACCGCATCGCCGCCATGGCCGGTGAGATTGCCCTTCGCCGCCAGAATGTCCGCGCCACCGGTGCCTCCAGCATCCACAGCAGCCCCCTCGTCACCATCACCCACAAGTCCAACGTCCTCTCCCAGACCGACGGCCTCTTCCGCCAGACCGCCAAGCAGGCCCTCGCCAACCCCAAGTTCTCCAGCGTCAAGATCGAGGAGCAGATTGTCGACTCCATGGTCTACAAGCTCTTCCGCCAGCCCGAGGACTACGACGTCATTGTCGCCCCTAACCTGTACGGCGACATCCTCTCTGACGGCGCCGCCGCCCTCGTCGGTTCTCTCGGTCTCGTCCCCAGCGCCAACGTCGGCGAGGGTTTCGCCATGGGCGAGCCCTGCCACGGCTCTGCCCCTGACATCCAGGGCATGGACATCGCCAACCCCATCGCCACCCTCCGTAGCGCTGCCGTGATGCTCGAGTTCCTGAACGAGGAGGCTGCCGCCGCCAAGATCTACGCCGCTGTTGACGCCAACCTGGAGGAGGGCAAGCTCCTCACCCCTGATCTCGGTGGCTCTGCCAAGACCAGCGAGGTTGTCGCCGACGTTCTCCGTAGAATGTAAGGTGTCGTGTCGATATAAAATTTGGAATGAGGCAACTTCCGTGACTGGATATGGCAGTCGGCGTAGGCAGCTGCGTCTTTGATACCTACCATATTACTAAAAGTACTTGTTTTACCTAGCAGCTCTGGGGATTCATCGCTCTTTCCTGCCGTGCAATGAGTGAAACTTCTCTTCCGTAGACCTTGCGCGCATGCTCCTGCTTAAACACGCTGTTCAAAAGGTCATCGCCCAGAATTTCCTCCCAGTAACCCTACAAATGCCAGCCATCGCCACTAGCATGGGCTTCGTGGCCTCTTACGCTTCCATCATCCCTATCCCTCCCTCGTCTCAGCCCCAGAGCCGGAGCTCTCTGGCAATACACACCGACAACGGCGAAAATGACAATACTCATCACCGGCTGGCCGACTGGCTCAAGCAAAAAGCCCGACTGAAGCCATCCCGACACCATCAAGCTCCACAAGAATCAGCTTCGATGCCCGAGCCAGAGAAGATTGAAGCAGTCCCAACACCGACACCCACATACGCGACAACCGAGAAAGCAACGAGAAAAGCAGACAACTGCTTCGGGTTGAGCTGCTTTGGTCATCCCAGTACCAGGCGTGATCGACGTCCAACGCCCTACGTTTACACATGGCAAACAACGGAGGCTGACAGTATGCGTCCAAGCAGAGCATCAAGCCGTGTTTCAAGGGGCCCGAGCAAGAGGATGATTGTGCAAAATGTTTGAGTATCGCTTGAAGTTTAGCATTTCCGCCGAGGATCCTGGGGATCGTTCGCTGGAGTTTGTCATGGCAGCCGGGAGAAAGTTGGGAAGGACAACAGCCCGAAGTCTATCGCCAACAACAATCAACCCTATCACATCCTCTTCACGCAGACAACAGTAGTTTCGCTGTCTTAGAGTGTCGACACCTAGAGCTGCAGAAAGCTTCCTCCGAAAAGACCCCTCTTCATCAGCCCTCGACGTTACATCTCCCAGAGTCGCCATATTGCTAGGATTGATAAAAGCACAAGACGAAGACGGAGACACGATGGGGACGGTTGCATGGAAATGCACTTTGGGAGAGACGAGGTCTGTATTTCTTCAAAGTCTAGTTTCTATCATGAATCACGTACCCCCGCAAGCCTCTCTATTCAAGGCTTCAGGTTGATTTTCGTCCAGGCTCTACATTCCTGGTGTATGACATTAGATAGATATACATGTATGTACGCCGCTCAAATAGGCGACATACGACCGGCCATTCTCGGCGAGCTCATGACGCCGAGCGGCGGTCCGCTGTTGATACACGACGTGATGCCACAAACGGGCCACGGATTTGATACAAGACCCCAGTGGGGATAGCCTATGAGGCTTACTTGGTACGCTTGGCCGCCAACTCCTTCTGGTAGTTGGCGATGAGCTCCTTTCTGCGGGGATTGTTAGCATGCATGATGCACAAACATCAGATGGGCAAGAAGACGTACTGGAGGTGGGGAGGAGCAGCGGCGTAGTGGCTGAACTCCATGGAGAACTCGCCCTTGCCCTGGGTGGCGGCACGGAGCTGAGAGCTGAAGCCGAACATGGCGTTGAGACTGCAGTCGGCGATGAGGGTGAAGTCCTCGGTGCCGACCTCGGTGTCGTGGATGGTGGCGTTGCGCTTGTTCATGAGCATGATGATGTTACCCTGGAACTCGTTGGGGGCGGTGATAGTGGTCTTCATCAGGGGCTCGAGGACCTGGCCGCCGGCCTCGTCGAAGGCCTTGCGGAAAGCCATCTGGGTGGCCAGGCTGAAGGCGTGATCGGAGGAATCAGTAACGTGGGTGGAACCGTCGTTGACAATCATCTTGGTACCAATGACCCTGTGGCCGAGGAGGGGACCCCTCTCGGTGACCTCCTCGAAACCCTTGCCGCAAGCGGAAAGGAACTTGTCGGGAATCGTGCCACCGACGACCTGGGTCTCGAAGTAGTTCTTCTCGGGGTCCTCGAAGGGCTCGATCCAGCCAGCGACACGGGCGTAGTCACCAGGGCCACCGGACTGTCTCTTGAAGAGGAAGTCGTAGTCGGTCCTGCGGGAGATGGTCTCGCGGTAGGAGACGCGGGGCTTGCCGGTCTCGCAGTCGACCTTGTACTCGCGGCGGAGACGCTCGACGTAAATCTCGAGATGCAGTTCGCCCATGCCGGAGATGATGGTCTCCTCGGACTCCTCGTCGACGTGCAGACGGAAGGTAGGGTCTTCGCGCTGGAAGCGGTTCATGGCCTTGGAGAAGTTGTCGGCGTCGCTGGTGCGCTTGGGCTTGATGGACAGCGACATGACGGCGTCCGGGACGAACATGGAGGACATGGTGTAGGGCAGGTTTCCGTCGGTGAAGGTGTCTCCGGAGGCGCAGTCGACGCCGAAGACGGCGCAGATCTCGCCGGCGCCGATCTCGTTGACGTCCTCCATCTCGTTGGAGTGCATGCGGACGATGCGGGGGATGCGGACCTTCTTGTCGGTGCGGGAGTTGAACAGGTAGGATCCCTTGCGGAGCTTGCCCTGGTAGACGCGGATGTAGGTGAGCTGGCCGTAGTTGTTCTCCTCGAGCTTGAAGGCGAGTCCGACGAAGGGGAGCGAGTTGTAAGGCACCAGCTTGACCTCGGTCTCGTCGCGCTTCCTGTCCAGAGCCTTGTTCTCGACCTCGGAGGGGTTGGGCAGGTAGTCACAGACAGCGTCGAGGACGGTCTGAATACCCTTGTCGGCGAGGGCGGAACCCATCATGACGGGGGAGAACTTCAGGGCGATGGTAGAACGGCGGATGGCAGCCTTGATCTGGGGAATGGTAGGGGTCTGCTCCTCGAGGAAGATTTCGGCAATCTCGTCGTCGACGTCGGCAAGCTTCTCGATGAGTTCCTGGCGCTTCTCCTCGACGATGTCCGCGTAGCCGTTGGGGACCTCGGCGACCCTGACCTGGGTGCCACGGGGGCCCTCAAAGTAGTAAGCCTTCTTCTCGATGATGTCAATGACGCCCTGGAACTCGTTCTCGGCACCGATGGGGACCTGGATCGCGGCGGCGGGGATCTTGAGCTTCTTGTTGATCTGCTCGACGGCCTTCCAGGGGTTGGCACCCATGCGGTCCATCTTGTTCACAAAGCTGATGCGGGGGACGTTGTAGCGCTTCATCTGACGGTCGACGGTGATGGTTTGGGACTGGACACCGCTGACGGCGCAGAGAATCATGACGGCACCGTCGAGAACACGCAGAGCGCGCTCGACCTCGATGGTGAAGTCAATGTGACCGGGCGTATCGATGATGTTGATGTGGTATGTTTCGTCTTTTCCGTTTTCCTTCTTGGTCCAGTCGGCGAAGGTAGCTGCAGACTGGATGGTGATGCCTTTTTCTCTCTCGAGATCCATGGAGTCCATCTTGGCGCCGACGGAGTCCTTTCCGCGGACCTCGTGAATAGCCTTGATCTTGCCAGAGTAGAAGAGAACTCGCTCGGTACATGTCGTCTTTCCGGAGTCGATGTGGGCGGCGATACCGATATTGCGCACGCGGGAGAGACGCTGGGCCTCCTCGGGGCTCATCTTGGCGGCGACGACCTCGGGGGTCAGGGCGGCGGCGTTCTCCTGGGCCAGCTTCAGGGCCTCCTGGGCGGCGGACCGGACACGGGAGGTCGTGGAGAACGCACGCCTTGCGAGCTTCCATGATGCCGGAGTCGCTTGGGTGGTGGCGGCGGCAGGAGCAGCAGCCTTCAAGTTGACGGCGATGCTGAAAGGCCGACTCGAAGGCTTTGCGCCTGTAAAGAGGCCGCCATTCGGCACTCTGACGGCCCTGGGAGCCCTCATCGTGACCAAAAGCGTATGCGGCGTATACAGAAGGGAAAGAATGGAGTAGGTAGAACTACGAAAAGAGGGAGATGGGACCCATTGGAGACAGGATGATCTGATAGCGCACTTTTTTTTGCACTCCCACACAATGCATGCGAAACTTTTTTTGCAGGGGTCCGAATTCGCGCCGGCCGCGACGGCACGTGTTTTCGTGGAGAAGTGGGGCGTTCCCGGAGCTGGACGAATCGCTGCTGCGGGATTACGCCGGCCGGTTCATCGGCGACGGGTCAGGCATCTGGTGGCATTCACAATAGGCATTCTTTTCTTTCAATCTTTGTCTTGTGGATTTTAATGTTTCTCGGCTATGAAAGATTGGCCTCCACGTATTTCTCGAGCTTCTCCAGGGCTTCCTTGAGCACCTCCGTGTGGCACACATAGCCAATGCGGACATAGCCCGGGAAGTCCTTCCCGTCTCCGAAGCACCTGGACCCAGGTACGAAGAACACCTTCGTTTTGTTGAGAACATCCAGGCAAAACTTGACATCATCTACCGGCTTTCCGCCGTGGGTGAATTGGACAAATGCCGTGGTTCCCGCCTTGGGCTTGACCCATGAGCAGACGTTCTTATGCTTTTCGATGAAGGCTTCTAGCAACGCCTTGTTCGTGTTAGCGAGCGCGACGTTACGCTCTAGCAATGGCTTCCAAACCGGCCGCGAAAGGGCGTAGGAAGCAATCTGGTCATCTATCTGAGACACGCTGATGGTGGTGTAGTCTCTTGCTGAAGCGATTGCCTGGATGATGCCCTTGTCTTTTGATGCGATCCAGCCGATCCGGATGCCAGCCAACGCATAAGACTTGGACATGGAACCTGTGACGATAACCTTTTCGTAGCCAAAGGTGGTGACCGGAGGCGGCACTTCGGAGCCATCCTCGAAGAAGTTGTGAAACAGCGGGCGGTAAACCTCGTCTGAAAAGAGGATGAGGTTGTGAGTTTTGGCAAAGGCGACGATGTCCTTGAGCACTGTGGTGGGGATTGGTGCTCCTGTGGGGTTATTGGGATTGTTGATGATGATCATCTGCAATAATATTAGTCAACAAAACCATAGAGGACGAGAGAGAGGAGAGAGAGAGGAATGCCTTTGTATTTGACCTGACGAGACCCTCAAGTTCTTTGACATCGGGGACAAAGCCATTCTCCTTCTTCAATCTCCATAGTGAGACATCCGCGCCCAGACTCTCGGGAACGCCATAGAGCTGTTGATACGTTGGATACACACAGATGACGTGGTCGCTGGGGTTGACGAGGGTGTAGAGCAACAGGAAGTTGGCTCCGATAGCGCCTTGGGTGATGAGAACATCGTCCTGTTCAAGAATGCTTTGGGCGCCCGAACCGTCACTGCCGCACAGTTCGGCGACTCGTTGTCGGAGGGAATCAGAACCGCGGATGGGTCCGTAGACGAGCTTGGTGGAGAAGTCGATCGGGCCTGGAGCGCTCCTGTCCTCGGAGAGTCCCATCAACTCATCCACGGAGACGGAGGCGGCGCAGGTTTCGGCGATGTTGAGGCATCCCGGGGTAGTCTCATACTCGTCCATCCATTGCTCCACCTCGAAGGCCGCAATTCGGACCATGTTGGAGGATTCCGCTATAGGGAACAATTGACAACTCGATGGGCAGTAGTGAAGACGGTTTCGGTAGACGAAATCGCGGCGTAGAACTGAATTGACATAATGCCAAGGCCTTACGGAGACCGAATCCGAGGTTCTCAAACAGTTGCTGGCGGTAACTTTGAAGACCGCTTCGACTTTTTAACGTGGGAGTACGTATCGGGTGCTGCGTGTGAATTCCGAGAGCACGGGCGACATGTCAGACACCAGCGCCCTCCCGCAGTCTAATGCATGACAACGACCCGTCAACAGGGCGCCAGGCGCGCATAGGCTTGACAGGAACCGGCAGCACTAAGAAACCAGCCGGAGGGTCCAAGGGCAGAGAAACAGACGGATCGGTCCCCTAAGAGAGTTTGGGAATGAGTATTCAGATCCGAGCCAGGGTTGCATTTGTACAGCAGCTTGGGCAAGATCAGACTGCGTGGGCTTGGAGCTCTGACCTGCCGGAGTCACTTTCCGCCACATGCCCAAGAGACCCGACTCACACAAAAGAAAGAGATAAAGCATCTATGGCCGACTCGAATTGATTTCACTTTGCCAATCCTTTGATGATAGCGGACTACAAGACGGTAGATCGGACTGTAAACCTCTATCTTGGCGCCTTTGGATTTCACTAAGTGGAATGCTTAAAAGCATGTTGAGAAGCCCACTAGAAACATGCCACAGGGGAATTCGAGTGCCTCGGCTGTGGCTTAGATGGGCTACCGCTCACGAGACCAGTCCTCTCTGGCCGCAATGTCGAGTCGTAGCTGAACCAACAACTGTTTGGTCTGGCCTGACTTTTGGCCATGCTCTTCCCTTCTTCTTGAGTTACAAACCACATTGGCGGACGGCCGGGTGGGATCTAGACATCCTTGTTGTGAGGCTTCTCCACACTTCCCCAGCTCTCGAATCCGCCCAGGATCTGACGGCAGTGTCAGTCGTCACAGAAAGCATGATTTTGAGAGGGCGGGGTCCTGTCCTGGATGCTGACTATATACTGTATTCATCCGAGAGAAGGAGTTAGCCATGTCGCAGCCAAGACACGCTGTTCTTTTGCTAGAGGTACGAGTCGTTGACATGGCGGGACAGATGTCTACCCTTGGGCATGTGTGGGCTGAAGATTAACATGTCAGATGGACTGCGTAATGTTCTGTGCTTGTCTTGTCAACATGTGGCTTACTTTGCGCTTAGGACCGGATTCGCATTGCGAGGCGTCGTTTCAATGGGCAATTCGCCGCCAGATGAGCGGGTAGATTTTAGCAACAGTGTAATGCTCATGGATCTGGCTCCTGGCGTGTTCCCTGTTCCTAGTCTGCCTCTCACAAAGACAGGTACAGACAGACAGATTGTTGGGGGTTATTCTTAGGGTCAGTCTGCCCGCCGTCCCGTCCCACGCAGCTGGTTGCCTGAGCGGGCAGCGGAAAACAGCGCAACCAAGATCAGGCACCCGAACTCTGTTGCGTTGTGTGTGTACTTCCATGTGGAAGCACTTGTTGGAGTTCAGCCACCCCACGGGACGCTGGTGCGTGTTTCCGACAGGCGCGGTGGGGAAGACGTGTCCACTGTGACGCCACCGTACAGGTGTCCAGGTCGCTGTAACTGAGGTGTGCGGCGCGTTGCTGGGCGGCGGAACGTGGGACGTGGGAGCCAAGCGGGCACGCGGGTTATTATCGGCCGTGTGTACGTACTCACCTACAAACACCCACGACCTAAGACCTTCTTGGGAACCTACCCCAGCTTCCTCCTTCAGCAAGGTACCGGCTCCGTCACTCGGCCAGCTTGGACTGCGGTGCCACGAGGTCACAGGTACGTCGTCTATCTGCCCATCTACCTACCTGCCCGCCTACCTATCTTCCGCTCTCTTCTTCCTGCTACCACGGCCAACCCGAGCCAGAGCTTCTTCGCCTTCCGCCGCTCTGCTGCCATTCATCCATCACTCCGTTTGCTTACCTTCATGTTTCCTTTTCTCTTCTGACATCGTCTGTTTCCTTTAGTCGCCTTCATCATCGACGATAACACCGAGCCCGCTCCTTCGTCCGCTTATCGGTGCGGCGTCGTCTCTCCATCGAAACGCCCATCATGGCTCCTCCAAGCCTGAGGAGCCTCCTCATCGGGGCCCTGGCGTGTCTTCCAACACTCGCCATGTCCCAGCGCAACTACTCCACCGCCGATATGCTGCGAGCTCAGCTGACGCTGCTCGACGATCGTCCCGACAACTGCCCTCCCTGGTGAGTTCCATCTCGCCTCTTGCGACTTTGTCGAATCCGATATTGGCACTCCGAACCGCTGTCGGGATTGTGACCATGACGCCCAGGCTGACAACATTGCGCGCAGCTTCAACTGTCTCCTCCCCGCCCACAAGTGCACTCAGTTCGCCGGCTGCAATGACTATACAGGCAAATGCAACTGTCCCGAAGGTTTTGGCGGTGATGACTGTCTCGAACCACGTACGCCGCCCACTTCTGAGCCGTTTTGTCGCACAAGCGAGGCGCATCACTGACACCCCCGATAGTTTGCGGTTCCCTCTCCCGTGGCGATAACACCGACAGGCCACGACGATCTGGCGACCTTTGCGAATGCGACGACGGCTGGACCGGCATCAACTGCAACGTCTGCACGAGCAACCAGGCGTGTAACGCTCTAATGCCCTCTCAAGAGGGTGGCGTGTGCTACCAGAATGGCGAGGTCATCAACCACAACTACCAGATCTGTGATGTCACCAACAAGAAGATTACCGACCTTCTGGGCGACAAGCGACCCCAGGTTACCTTCACTTGTAAGAAAGAGGAGGGTAACTGTGACTTCCAGTGTAAGTCCGAGCCGAGTCCATGCGCTTCAAGCTCCGCGTCAACATCCGTTGCTAACCATCCTCAGTCTGGGTTGACGAGCGCGAGTCCTTCTACTGCCACTTGACCGAGTGCTCGTCCAAGGCCGATATTAATGAGAGCCAGAATAGCACCGATTACAAGTGCAACAAGATCGACTGCAACTGCATCTCCGAGCGAATGCTTTGTGGCGAGAATGGTTCCGTCGACATTAGCGACTTCCTCGTCGAGGAAATCAAGGGCCCCGCCGAGTTTGAGTGTCTTCAAAAGAATGGAGGGATCAACAACTGCGCGTTTAAAGAGCCCGCAATGGACGATCTCATCCTTCAGCTGATCGGCGACAGCAGCATCCAGCTCACTTGTCGTTCCGGCGAGTGTCTGTACCACACCGAGGTCCCTGGCTACGAGCGCCCCGTCAAGAAGATCAACACTCCACTTATCGCCAGTATCATCGCGGCATGCTCCCTGTTTGTCGTTGCCATCATTCTTCTCACCTGGTACCTGTCTAGAAGGCAGTTCAACTATGGCGCTATCGCCTTGGATGACTCGGATGATGAGAGCTTGAAGCTTATGACGAACCACAAGCCCGCCTCTCTGTACTTCGAGAATGTTGCCTACGAGCTCAACGGCAAGAGGATCTTGAACAACATCCAAGGCATGGCCCATCCCGGAGAGGTCACCGCCATCATGGGTGCATCGGGTGCTGGAAAGACTACGTTCCTTGATATCCTGGCTCGGAAGAACAAGCGCGGTAACGTTTCTGGCGACTTCTTCGTCAACGGCGAGAAGGTAAACGACACGGACTACAAGAATGTCATCGGATTCGTCGACCAGGAAGACACGATGTTGCCTACCCTCACGGTGCATGAGACTATTCTCAACAGCGCGCTTCTCCGTCTGCCTCGCAATATGGGCCGAACCGCCAAGGAACAGCGCGTCTTCGAAGTCGAGAAGCAACTCGGAATCTACCACATTCGTGATTCGCTGATTGGCTCTGAGGAAGGCAAGGGCCGAGGTATCTCTGGCGGAGAGAAACGCAGAGTTGGTATCGCCTGTGAACTTGTCACCAGCCCCTCGATTCTGTTCTTGGATGAGCCTACTAGCGGTCTCGACGCCTACAATGCCTTCAACGTCATCGAGTGCCTGGTCACCTTGGCTAAGAACTACAAGCGAACTGTTGTCTTCACTATTCACCAGCCGCGATCCAACATTGTGGCGCTGTTCGACCGACTCATCTTGCTGGCGCGCGGAGGTGCAGTCTACTCTGGCCCCTTTTCGCAATGCCAGGGTTACTTCGACCGCATTGGATACTCATGCCCTCCCGGTTTCAACATTGCAGACTACCTCGTCGACCTCACGATGCATGCCGGATCTACTACGTCAGAGGATGATGGCACCCTCAACGCGGAAGTCGCCAGCCTGGGACCCAGCAGCACTACTGCTGTTAAGTCCATTGCGAGTATCCCTGGAAGCATTGCTGAGGATAGCGGTGTCGAATCTTCCACTTCGCGCCCAAAGAACAGCCGCCGCGACTCGGTCAGGATCCGTCAGGAGCGGGAGCTCTACACGCGTCGCAAGAACACTGTCGACACTGCGGCTTCCTCCGACGCTGGCGGTGAGGATGTTGGATCTTACAAGCTACAGAACCAACCTGCTGGCTTTGTTCCCACGATCAACGTTGAGGATCCCCATGATCTTCCCCCTGCTGCCTATATCGGTACCGATCTGGACATGTTGATCAGATCCTTTGCGGAGTCGGATATCGCTGGTTCCACACACGATGAAATCCAGCAATCGATTTCAGCTGCCCGAGGCGCCAACGGCCAGAATGCGAACGGATACAACCCAGAGGGCCCCAACATCAACATCAGCGCCATCGGCAAGGGCTATGCTCGGGTCGGTCTTGGTCGCCAATTCATCATTCTCTCAAACAGAACCTGGAAGAACCTCTACAGAAACCCAATTCTGATGTTGACGCACTACGCCATCGCCATCCTTCTCGCGGTTCTGTCTGGATACCTGTTTTACGGCTTGACTGACGACATTCCCGGATTCCAAAACCGCTTGGGTCTCTTCTTCTTCCTCTTGGCTCTTTTCGGGTTCAGCACACTCACGAGCTTGAACGTCTTTGCCACCGAGAGACTCTTGTTCGTGCGC